ATCATTCAGGTATAAAAAGGAATGAAGTACTGACACATGCTGCAACGTGGATGAAAACATAAAGCAAAGCATAAGAAACCAGACGCAAAAGGCCACATATTGTATGATTCCATTTATGTGCTATATCAAAATAGGCAAACCCACGGAGACAGAAAGGAGATGGGTAATTCTCAGGGGCTGGGGATGGGGTGTGGCGGGGAAATGGTGGAGTGACTACTAAATGGGCACAGAGGCTTCTTTTGGGGCAATGAAAATATCCTGTAATTAGATTGTGGTGATGATAGCAAAACTTTGTAAATATACTAAAAAACAACAAATTACACACTTTAAAGGGTGAATTTTATGCTATGTGAATTGTATCTGAATAAAAAACAAAGTTTAAGTTTGAACAGAAAAGGAGTGAACAAGATATACCTTGCAAATAGCGACCAAAATAAAGTTATAGTTGCCATGTTACTGTCAAACGAAATACACAGTAAGGCAATAGCATTACCAGTACTAATGCATGTCACCACATTGTCATCAAATATATCGATTCTAAGCTCATCTGCACTTAGCAACGTCACTTGAAAATACATGAAGTGCTCTGTCCCGGTAAGTCAGTTGGTTAGAGCATTGTCTGATACACCAGGACTGAAGGTTCGATCCCCCAGTTAGAACACATACAAGAATCAACCAAAGAATGCATGAGTAAGTGCAAGAACAAATTGATGTTTCTCTCTCTTTCCATTCTTTTCTTTAGAAATCAATAAATTTTAAAAATCTTTAAAACAATACAAAAGCAATAGTTGAAAGGACTATAAGGATAAACTGAGAAAAGCAATGAGGCCTCCCCCGGCACGAGGGGAGCTACCGAATTCTCCATGGGGCCTGCGGAGGGCACCTGAGGTGAGGTTTTTATATTTACCAAGAGGGGGACAGATAGGGTTGGGAAATACAGAAAAACTCTCTTAAAGCAAAAATCTGATCCCGTGCCCTCTTCTTTTTTTTAAGATTTTCTTTACTTATTTTTAGAGAGGGGAAGGGAGGGAGAAAGAGAGGGAGAGAAACATCAGTGCGTGGTTGCCTCCCGAGCGCCCCCTACTGGGGACCTGGCCGGCAACCCCGGCGTGTGCCCTGACTGGGAATATGAACCAGCAACCCTTTGGTTCACAGGCCGGAGCTCAATCCACTGAGCCACACCAGCCAGGGCTGATCCTGTGCCCTCTTGAGAAAGTTCACTTCCAGGCTGATCTCTAGCACCCTCTCACAATAGGCCTCAATCAACCAAACTGGATGGTTTGTTATTTCCCAAACATTCTATCTCAGAAGCCAGGGATAGAGACAGCGGCGCCTGGACAAAGCTGGGGTTGGGCAGAGAACGTGGCTGCCACGTGCCCACCGAGTGGCTGGCAGGAAGGAACCTGGCTTCAAGTCAGGACGGGGGCCTGACTCGGCCCCTTCATGTCCTGAATAAGCCTGCCTCTCTCCTGAGTTCTGGGACAGTAGGGGTGGGTGGCATCCTCAACTCTCTTACACCCTCTTCCCCCATTCAGTTCACCATGACGCATCTCCATCTTTCCAGTCGCACTTCAGCCACCTTGGCACAGGCTCGCTACATCTCTTGCCTTGCCCTTTACATGACCCACGCGCATGCACACCTGCCGCCAGCCCCGCCCCGCTTCCAGCCATCCCTCACACTGAACTCCAGAGGGATCTTTCCAGGGCCCAGCTGCCACACCCACCTCTACCACTGTGGAATGACCTCCCAGGTTCTCATTTCACAGGCAATTTAAACAAACGAAACTGCGGCACAGAAGACTTTGAAGGGGACAAAACCACCTGCAAGGCTCAAACTCAAATCGAGGGCAGTTCCTCCAGCGTGGTGTTCTCTCTCGTTCCTCACACTGAGTTTGCACTTGCGGAGAGAAGGCTAAAGAATTCCCCGATCTTTTTCTCAAGTCCCTACAAAGCCCTCATGTTCCCAGTGAGCCCTCCTCACCTGCACGGGGGCAGGCAGCAGGATAGCGCACAAGGCTACGTGGCCTTGGCTCAGTTGCTTGGCCTCTCCACGCCTCAGTTTCCCCAGCTGTATGGAAAGAGGGGGCCAATGATAACAAGAATGGCTACTTCACAGTTGAGATTTGAGTGGCTACTGGGAAAGCTCTCCAGAACAGTCTGGCACGCAATGAGTCCTCAATAAGAGCTCCCACTGAGCTAATACTTGGGATCAGCTGCAAAGCTAAATGCATATTTGCAGAGAGAAGGGTGAGAAACAAGTCTCTTTTGCTCACCTTCCCCTTCAGGCACCTCCAACTTGCCATGACCAAAACCAGTCCCATCGTCTCTCCACAAACCCACCCCAGGTGACCCCCTCTTTGTGAATGGTTGCACAATCCACCCAGAAATGCAGAGGCCACCCCACAGCCCTCTCCTTCATTCTCCACCCCAGTGTGGCCCCAGGTTGAGCTTCCCTAGAACACCTGCCACCCACAGGTTTGCCCCAAGACAGACTGTGTGACCAACCCGGTGTGATCCAGAATGAGGGAAACAGCTTCCTCTCCGGACACACACAAGGCTTCCCTCTCGATTCCGGTCCGATCCCTGATGCCCGAGGCCAGCCTACTGGACCCTGCTCCTGGCCCACAGCGCTGAGTTTTCCACCACCGCTCAGCACCTACCACAGACGGCATAAGAGCACTCTCCGCTACGAACCCTCCAGAGGCTCACCATTGCCCAGACTAAGGCCCGACTCTTACCCTGCCAGGCTCTGATCCCTCCAGCCTCAGCGCCTGAGCACCTGTCGTTGCCTGACCTGAAATGCTCTCATGGTACCCCCAGCTCCCTGTCACAACCCCCCATCTCTTGCTTTTGGCTGAACCAGTCCCTTCTCCCAGCCCTCTTCCTAGCTGGCCCAAAGCTTTCTTCTCACAAACTGGTCCCTCGGATGGGAAGGGCTCGGAGGGATGAAGGAAGGGTCCCGCTCTCTGTTTCACCCAGCCAGGCAGGGCAGGACCTCTCTCCCAGGTGAGGAATTTCCTGGGGCGAGATCTAGGGGGGCAGTAGAGGAGAGGAATGGTTTTGAGCAGCTGCCCCAGGCGCTGAAGGAACAAGGGTGGCTGATGAATGTGACCATGGTGCCGCCTTCTGGCCAGAGGCCAAACTGCACCCTGTGTCAGGGCAGCTGGAGCGGTGGCCCCAACCCTGCAGCAAACGATCTGGCAGCGGGCCTGGGCTGGAAGAGCTGGCCCCCTCTGAACGACTGCGATCCCTTCTGGAAGGCTGGCTGGGACTTTGCTGTCCCTGAGCAGCCAGCAGTCTGCTTTCCCCATGCAGATCATTCCTCTCATCTGAGTAAGCCCACCCTTCCAGCACAGGGCCTCCTCCATGAGGGCAGGCACCTTGTCTGGTGGGTTCAGCACCTGGCACAGAGCGGAGGCCTAAGCAATATTTGACAGATAAGACAAGAATGAGTCGGTGTCGCAGGGTCTAATGTGAACAACTGGAAAGAGGGGAAGGAGAGCCAGCAAAGGGACTCTGGTGGAGATGTCCAAGGTGGCAGGAGAGCTGTCAAGGCCCCAATGGGGAGCTAAGGAGGGGCAAAACAGATCGTCGAAGGTGAGAAGGCCAAGTTCTTGAGACCTGGCCATGGTGCTAGCTGCCTGAGGTCCCCCGGATTGTGTGACCCCAAAGCCTTCAGTGAAGGATGGCCCAGAATTGGCCATGGGGACAGAGGAGAAAGCTGCCCACGCCCCTCCAGACTTGCCCCAGGCTCAGGGACCTGTGGGGAGGTGTGCATGGGGCAATGTGGAGCAGGAAGGTGGTGGGGAGATGCTGGGAGAAGACCACAGCGGGGCTTGTGGGCCTGGGAACCAGCGGGTGGGCATGCCCACCCCGGGCTATGCCCGCCCCCAGCTAACCAGAGGTGCACTGTGCACGGGCTGCTCTCCTCAGTGGAAGCCACACCCCGTGTTTCCCACCCCAAAGCCTCATCCGGCCCCCACCCCGGAGACCCAAGCCAGCCGAGCTTTGTCTCACTGCCCCATTCAGGTCCCAAAGGTCGACAAGAAGGTTCTTCTCCATCACGCTCCATGATGGGGGCTGGCGGAGGGCAGCGGAGGCAGGGGTTACAGTGGGGAGGAAGGAGCGGCCAGCTTGCCCAAAACTCTGAAGGCTGCTTCCTTTGCTCTGGCTGGGGCTGAGGATCGGTCCTAGGGGGTCTTCCGCTGATGAGCACAGGAGAAAGGCTTAGTAGGGCCAGCAGAGGCTCGGGTGGGAGGATTTGAATGCGAGAGGCGGGGGCCATGCAGACCAGAGGACCAGTCACCACTCTTCGCACAAGAAGTCATAACCAACCCAGCCTGTTGCTCCAGGCCTGGAGCCCGTGCGTTCCAAGCCGCGGTAGCGCCGCACAGCACAGGAGTTGAGGCCCCTGTGGCGCCCTCTCCTGGCCAAAAGGCTCTCACGCTGTGCTGGAAATGCTCCATCTGGCCACAGCCCAGGTAAGCTGAGTGAGGAGCGGGGAGTGGGGAGAGGTTGGAGAAGGCAAGCTGGGACTCTGGCTGCTCTCCAGGCTGCAGGCCTCCACTCGCCTGTGAGCCCTTCCCGGCCTGGCCCTGAACAGCAGATGCACTGCAGCCCATCTCCGGGGTCCTGGCGACTGGGGCCTCCATTGGACCTCCCACCGCACCCCCTCTGCTAACAGCCCAGCGGGGAGCCAGAGCCACAAGCAGGTCCACTTCTAGGGTGGCAGAGCTGACCGTCTGGCTGCCTCTTGCTGGCACGTTGGATGTGGGGCGAGGACAGGAAGTTCTTGGACAACCAGGAGTTTGTCTGCCATGATCCGAGGAAGCAGAAATTTGGGTGGCAGTGGCCTGGATCGGCGGTGCGGTCCCATAGGCAGTGGCCCTGCCTCCTTAGTTCCCTACCCACAGGTGATGCCCATCCCCTCCACAGTCACCCCCCAATCCCTGTCCCTTACCCCTTCCTCCAGCTCACCACTGGCCTATTGCTCTGTCTGTCTTTATTGATTTGGGGAAAGTGGAGGGCAGCTGGAGGGCCACAACACAAGCAGGACCGCCCACAGTCAGCAAAGCGCAGAACAGCGTGCAGGAAGGACAGTCCCTGGAGCCTCTCCAGGTTCTAAAGGGGTTGTGACAGCGACAGGGGAGGGGAGCCCTGTGGACATGCCCCACCAGCCCCTAGGGGAGGGCAGAGCCTGGGGGGTGCCCCACTCCTACCCCCGTGCCACGAGCCACACTGACATGTCTCAAACTCTTCGGCAGAGGCCAGCCCCAGGGCACAGCGCATGGGGAAGAGGAGCAAAAGGGTCCGTGGGAAGAGAACCTGGGGGTCAGTGCACTCAGCCTCGGCATCTGCCAGGGGTGGAGGGGGAGAGAGAAGCTCACAGGGAAGGGAAACCGTCAGGAGGCCCCCGGGGCCTGCCCGTGCTCCCATCAAGGCTCTCAGCAGTGGCGCCCACTCGGTCTTCACGCTGGGCCCCTCTCGGATCCTCACGGCCCCGCAGCCATCAGCCCCTGCGGGCCCCTCTCTCGTTCACTCCTCCTGGAACCCTGGATCCTGCCTTCCAACTGTGCTCTCTGCCCTGGGCCCTCTGCTCTCTGGGGTCCACTGCACTTAGCTCTCGGCCACATGGGGCCCAGCGCCCTCTTAGGTCACCAAGGAACCACCTCCCAGGGGGTGCAGGGCCCACCCCCACGCACCTGGGCATCACCAGTTGGGGGGCTGGCCAGCCCTGAGGCCTGGGTGGCTGTGGCGGGCTATCTTCCGCTCTGGGGCCTCCTCACCCTCTGGGCTCTGCCCTAGCTTTCGGATGTGGCGCAGGAAAGAGGTGGCGTTGAATGCTCGCTGCAAGGAGAGGAGGGTATCGGGCCATGCCCTGGCCCTCGCCTCCAAACTTCAAGGACCACAGAGGCCCCTGGCAGGCCCGGCCATCCCCCTGAGGCTGAGGGATGGAGCAGGCTGGGAAGGGAGGCAGCTTCCAGCCAAAAAGCGCCCACGGGCCCCGCCCAATACTGACCTTCCAGTGGGTTCGGGCAAAATTCTTCTGGATCTGTTCGCTGACTGAGCCCAGGATGTCCTTGTCAAAGGCAGCATCCCCAGAGATCCTAGGGGGAGGCCAAGGGTCAGTGGAGGAGTGCGAGGTCTCTGAGGATGTGGTTCTTCACTCTGCTCCCGGGACAGCTTGGCAAGGGTTCCACTCACCAAAGATGCTGTAAGGCCTGCTGGCAGGTAAACCTCTTCTGGGGGTCTCGCTCCAGAAGGTGCCGGATGAAGTCTTTGGCTGGGGCAGGGAGGCCAAGTCAGCCCAACCTGTCCCACTCCACTTATCACGCCCCGTCCCCCTCCCCCGAGCTTGGGGTCAGCCTCAAGTTCACCTGATTCTGAGATGTCATCCCAAAAGGGAGAGTCAAACTCGTAGCTGGCCCTCAGGATCTGGCTGAAGAGTTCGGGGTCGCTCTCGTCGTAGAAGGGGGGGTACCCACACAGCCTGGCACCCACAGATGAATCACCCATCTGTCCAACCCTCCCCAACCCAGCAGGGGGCAGGCAGGCAGAAGAAGAAGAGCCTTTCACAGCGGTCACTCACAGAATGTAGGAGATGACACCCAGGGCCCACACATCCACAGCCTTTCCGTAGGGTTTCTGCTCCAAGAGCTCCGGGGCTGGGGGTCAGAGACAGACAGACAGACAGACAGACAGACACACCCGTGCACGCACACACCAGCCTTCAGTGCTTCCTGGCTCAGCCTGGTCGACCCCACGAATAGCCCACCACCTGCCCTGTCCTTGGCATCACAGCTCCCGCAGGGTCCCCCAGCTCCCTGGCCCCCAAGGAACTTCAGGGCACCCCGCGCACTTACCCACATATCCTGGGGTCCCACAGGCAGTGCCCAGCATGTTGCCAGCCTGGATTTTGGAGAGGCCAAAGTCAGACACCATGATCTTGGAGTCCTCGAACGGTGTGGCATAGAGGAGGTTCTCGGGCTGTGACATACGGATGACCAGAGGAAGAGCCAAGTCAGCCTTGGCATGGCCCCTGGGGGCCGGGACAAGGGGCGGGGCCTCCTCTGGGTGCACAGGGAGGCTGGGCAAAGCCTGGGTAGGAGGCCAAGAGGGCAGGCACCTTGAGGTCACGGTGAACAATGCCCAAGCTGTGCAGGTAGGAGACAGCACCAAGAACCTGGCCCACCAGGTGGCTGGCATCCTTCTCGGTGTAGGAGCCACGCTCCATAATGCGGTCAAACAGCTCACCCCCTGTCACCCTGCGAGAAGAGGAGGCTCAGTTGACCCAGGCCCCTTGGCCCCCACTCACGACCCAGCCCCCAGCCTGCCCCTGCCGTCCTCACAGCTCCATGGCCAGGTAGAGGTGGGAGGGGCTCTCGTGGACATCCTCCAGAGCCACGATGTTGGGGTGGCTGACCCTGAAACAGCAGGAAAGAGTCCTTGTAGGCCACTGCAGCCCCCTCCAGGCCTCAGGGCCTGAGAGTGCTTTCTTCCACCTCTGCCCCTTCCCTACCACAGGCCGCCCCTGCCCAAACCAGCAAGGCAGAGCCCCAGTCCAGGCCTTCCAGGGACACAGGGGAAGCAGGGCACTCCACCCCAGGATGCTGCCCCACAGGCCTTAAGCAATAGCCACCTGGCCAGGGCCAGGCGCGCACCTGCGGAGCACCGCAATCTCGTTCTCCACCAGGGCCTCCTTCCCTCGAAGGGCCTTCTTGGAGATGCACTTGAGAGCAACAAGGTGTGAGGAGCCCCTCTCCTGGGCGAGCACCACCTCAGAGAAGGCACCCCTGCCATAGAGACAGCAGAGGCAGGAAGAGAGGGGGAAGGCTGAAGAGGAGGAAGAGAGGCGAGGGAGGGGAGAGAGAGCAGGGGTGGGGAGAGAGGGAAGGGTCCAGGAGACCCTCTCCATCCCATGCCGCCCATCCCCCCACACACTTACACGTTCACCGACACACATCACATTCCCTGACACACACTCACGAGCCCAGCTTCTCCCGAATCTCGTAGACACTGCTGATGTCCTCCGTCTGTTTCTTGAGCAGCAGCATGTCTGGGGGGCAAGGGAGAGGTGGAGGGAGGCGCCCTGGGTGAGAGGCGGCCCCGTACCCCGCTCCCCGTACCCCACCTCACGCCCAGCAGTGCTTCAGCCACCCTCAGAGGCAACCTCACTCAGGAACACATGTCTCATAAGGTCCCATAACCCTCCCCCAGCCTGGGTACATCTCGCCCCTCCCCCACCGCCCAGGTCAGCACTCTCAGGTAGGACGCCTCCCTGTGAGGCCGCTGAATACACTCCTTCCACCCCCTCCCCAGATACGCAGCGGCGATCCGGAACGCCCCCACCCTGATGGCGATCAACGGTCAGCGCCCAGACACCTGCTCTCTGCCGCCACACAACCGGCAGCGCAATCAGCCGTCTTCCAGAAGGCTCCATGCACCCCCACGCAGGCCCCTCCGAGCCCATCCCCACCCACAGCGCCCGAAGGGTCCTCCCTTTCCCCCAGGCCTAGACTTGCCACTCATTGCCCAGCGCCCACAGGCTCAGGCCACCAACCAGCCCGAGATGCACCTGCGACCCCAGCGCACAGCCGCCTGCCACTGCCACAGCCACCCACGCGGCCGCCCAGGCACACTCGGCTCTCCGAGCCGCGGGGCAGGAGAAACTCCGCAGCCTGTGCCTCCAGCGTCCAGAGCTGCGTGGGCAGCGCGCGTGCGGGCCAGGGGCGCGCCGGGCGTGACAGGTGTGCGCGGGGACACACAGGGGCTACGGCGGCCACCGCCGGGGACCCTGCACGACCCTGCCAGCGTGGGCGAGCGTCCAGGAGCGCTCGCTCGGTACGGACCTGGATTGGAAGCTGCAGCGTCAACGCGCACAGTGGCAGCGGCTCAGAGCCCACAGCCCGCGCCCCGCCGGCCCCGCCCCCTCCGCGCGCGTTCACGCCGAATGCTGCCCGCCGAGCCCCCGGTGGCTGAGAGTGGCCGCGGCGCTGCAGGGCGCCTTGTAAGGCAATCTGCCGGCGGTAGTTGCCGCCTCCCTCCTCGGTCATCCACGTGGGTTCCCACCGGCTTCAGCCCCCTGGCGGCCTGGTTGGGCCGGCCCCAGGGCCTTTGCACCACTGGCGTCCGCCGTCCCGAAGTCTCTTTACCCGCATGTTGACGTGGCTTTGAGCCTCCGGGTCTCTGCTCTGTCCAGGTCATTTGATCTAAAACAGCCTCCTTCCCTAGCCCAGCCCGGCCACTGCTGCATCTGACCCCCTGGCCTGAGCCCCATCAGCACTTAGTTGGACGACAGTCACAGCCTCCTCACTGGACTTTCTCTGCCCTCTGAACCCAGCCTTAGTCTCTTTTCCCCACCTAGCAGCCTGAGCATTCCCTTTATTGAGATCATGTCATCCCTGGGCTACAATCCCACCTCACCCCCCATGGCTTTCCAAGTCACTCTAAATCAAAGCATGAGCCTTCACAGAGCCCTTAGGACTCTGTACAATTGGTCCTCCTTTCCCATCTCTATTGTGGCCTCTCTCCACCTACTTGCCCCCTTGCTCAGGCAGCTCCAGCCTACTCCAGCCACAATGGCTTCCAACTGGCCTTCACACACACCATGCATGGGGTGCGTACCATACATGGCCCTCAAACACACAAACACGCACCTGCTCCAGGGCCTTTACACTCACTGCCTCTCCGCCTGGAATGCTGTTCACTCAGATATCTGCTTGATTTGCTCCCTCACTCCACCAGGTCTCAGTTCAAATGTCACCTCTTCAAACACGCCTCCTCTGCCTAACTCCCCTGGCCCTGCCTTCAGAACACCCATCAGTTTCTGCGTCTTCCTCATCAGTTTCTGCGTCTTCCTCATCAGAGCCTCCACTCCCCAGAAGTGTCTCTGCTGATCGGGCCAGGGGAAGTGCTCAGAAAATAAGTGCTGGGTGACCAAATTCAATCCTTCAACAATTAGTGGATTCCTGCTACTCAGTCCCATACATTCTGGCGCCCTGTCCCAGGGGGCTTAGGGGGTCACCAAGGAGGGAGGGACGGGTTTCCTGGCTGGCTGTTGACAAGAGCACGTCCACACAGGCTAGAGCTGCAGGGGCTCCGTGGAGTCACAGGGTCCAGGAGTGATCTGCTGGATCCATCTTCACAGGAGTCTGCAGGCTCCTGGCATGACCCAAAGTCTTTAAGAGGGTCTACAGAGCAGGCAGGGGTTTTTAAAAATCATCTTTCCAGATCTCAACCCCCACAGGTACTCTGTCCAAAAATCAGTAAGTTTGAGAAGCACCCCCCAGTTCTTGTCCCCCGACCCCTTCCCAGTTGCCCCTTCCGGTTCATTCAAGAGGGCTCCAGGGGCCGCGGCCCTCAGCAGCACGGGCCTCACTCCCGACTGCTCATCTCTGTGAACAGGGTTTCCTTGGACTTACACCTAAAAACAGAAAAGAGGAATGGGACTGCTGGTGAGCCCCCTCTCACACTGGCAGTAAGTCCCATTTGACACAGGCTGGAGCCAATCTTACTTGTTCATTTGGCGATTATGCCAAAAGAAACATGATCAGAGATCCGTGGTCACAGGCCGTAACAAGAAATGTAACTTACACACATTCGTGTTTTGGAGAAGTACGATGGAGGAATAACCAAAAAACTGCCCATGTGGAGAAAGATGGCATGTAGAGAGACCTCTCTGAAGGGGGCAGCAAATGAAACATGGAGGCAGGAATAAAAGGGCCCGCTTCCAATGTGAGCCTGGGAAAAAAGAGCCAGCAGGCAGAATTTGAGATAGACACAGGCATCAGTTCACCAGGTGATTTTGATGCCATTGGCCTTGTGTAAAAAGTGATATCATTCCCTGACTGGTGTGGCTGAGTTGGTCGGGCGTCATCCCGCAAAATGAAAGGTCAATGGTCCTATTCCCAGTCAGAGCACACACCTGGGTTGTGGATTTGGTCAGTCAGGCACATGAGAGGCAACTGATTGATGTGTCTCTCTCAGATCAATGTTCCTCACCCTGTCTTTCTCCCTCCCTTCCCCATTCTCTAAAAATAAATAAATAAAATCTTTTTTTTTTAAGTGGTATCACAATTTTTGTTTTAACTCGGTATTTACAATACACCAGAAATTATACCCTTCACAGTTATTTAAATATCTGTTGAAATATGGTGGATGTGAACTTCAAAATGCATATGTACTGGGTCGTGGTGGTGGATAAAGAACTTCTGAAAATCCTTTCAGGTACCTCTTACAGAAAAATTAACTCCAAGTGGCTTATAGACCTAAATGTAAAATGTCAAGCTTCTAGGAGAAAACACAGGAGAAATTCAGTCTTACCTTGGCTTGGTGATGAGTTTTTAAATACAATATGAAAAGCATGGTTGATGAAAGAAAAAAAAGATAAAAATTGGACCGTATCAAACGTTTAAATGTTTGCTCTGTGAACAACACTGGTAAGAGAAAGAGAAGACAAGCCACAAGCTGGGGGAAATTCTCTGCAAAACACATATCTCATAAAGGACAGGTATTCAAAATATACATGGAACGCCTAAAACCCAACAATAACAAAACAAACAACTAAACAATTAAAAATTAAAAACAATTAAAAACGGGCAGCTCTGGCCAGCATGACTCAGTTGGTTGGAGCATTGTCCCTTAACCAAAGGGTCAAGGTTTGATTACAGGGCAGGGCACATGCCCAAGTTGGGGGCTTAATCACCATTGGGGGGCATGTAGGAGGCAGCTGATCATTGTTTCTCTCGCATCAATGTTTCTCTCTCTCCTTTCCCCTCTCTCTTGAATGAAAATAAAATAAACCTTAAAAAAAAATGGGCAAAAGATCTGAACAGACATGTCACCAAAGAAAAAATAAAAGGGCAAATAAGCATACGAAAAGATGCTTCACATGGTTTGTCACTAGGGAATAGCAAATTAAAACAAGATAACACTACAGCCCTGGCTGGTGTGGCTCAGTGGACTGAGCTCCGGCCTGCAAACGGAAAAGTCACCGGTTCGATTCCCAAGCAGGGCACATGCCTGGGTTGCGGGCCAGGTCCCCAAGTTGGTGGTGTGTGAGAGGCAACTGATTGATGTTTCTCTCCCTCCCTTCCTTCTCTAAAAATAAATAAATAAAATCTTTAAAAAAGAAGAAAGAAAACAAGATACCACTACATACCTATGAGAATCGCCAAAATCCCAACACTGATAACACCAAATGCCGGCAAGGATGTGGAGCAACAGGAACCCTCATTTATTTTATTTTTAATCATCACCTGAGGATATGTTCATTGATTTGTGAGAGAGAGAGAGATTGAGATGTGAGAAACATCGATCAGTTGCCTCCCATTCATGCCACCATCCGGGATCAAACCCATAACCTTTTTGGTGTATGGGATGATGCTCCAACCAATTGAGTAATCAGTCCAGGGTGGAACCCTCATTTATTGCTGGTGGGAATGCAAAATAACGGGAATACAGTCACTTTGGAAGACAGTTTGGTGGTTTCTTACAAAACTAAATATACACGATTTAACTATTGTACTCCTTGGTATTTACCCAGAGGGGTGGAAAACACGTCCACAAAAAAAACCTGCACCTGGATGTTTATCACAGCTTTATTCATAATCAACAAAAAGTGGAAGCAACTGAGATGTCTGTCCTGCAGGTTAATGGATAAACTCTGGTACATCCAGACAATGATATATTATTCAATTATAAAGAGAAAAGAGCTTTGAAGCCATGAAAAGACACGAATTAATATTAAATATATATTGCTAAGTGAAAGAAGGCAGTCTGAAAAAGGCTACATACTGTATGAGGTCTGTCCAGAGGGTATCCAGCCATGTAATGTGAAAAAGAGACATTTATTCAAGAAGATACAAGATGCAAGAAAAATTGTACATAGGACAATGACACTTCAGTCCCCTTCAAAGTGGGCACCTTGGGACCTCACACAGTTCTCCCAATCGCCATCAGCCGCCACATCGTGTTTTCCTGAGTTTCATCGACGGTCTGAAATCTCTTCCCTTTCAAAGGTAATTTTAGTTTTGGGAAAAGCCAGAAATCACAG